TTATTGCTATTCCTGGAATAAGAAACTGTGCATTGTCTCTGACCCAGGAGTCTCGTGAGTTGAACCAGCATCCATGAAACTGTGTGTGGCAGGCTAACTTAACAAGCTGAGCTCGCAAGTTGGGTAAATTTCAGAACTTTCACGTTTCTTTACAGTCATCAGTCTCTCGCCTCTCCTCTTCTCTCTCGTATATTCCTTACCTCAGTTAGTTTTACAACTGTCCACATAAATGCCAAAGCTAGGAATTAGGGTCCCTTCTCAGACTCCTTTCCCTCCCTTACCTCACTCTTTCATATCCAATCCCTAACTAAGTCTACCTTTTAAATACTTAAGAGGGAGGATGCAGGGAATTTTGTGAAAAATTTTCCATTTCGGCTCCCAACCTACCACCCAAATTCAAGTTCTTGCCATCTCGTGTGAGGAGTATGGCAATTGTCTTATAACTATCTTTTTTAGCAAGGGAGGCATGTGTTCTGCCTCATCCTCCTGAAAGTCCTTTTTTTAGGCCTGAATAAAGCAGTATACTTTACAGGCGGGAAACCTCCACTTCCAATATCCTCCTTCTAATTCAACCATACAAAAGCCAAGGACACAGAGGTTTTTGTAAAATGCAAATCTGATCTGGCTTTTCCCCAGGGCTAAAACTTTCAAGATCAGCAGGATAAAATCTGAACTCCTTTGTAAGAGAAAGACCTTTCTGAACTGCTTTGCCTCTGGTGTTATTTCTCCCCACAACCTACTTCTTTGTTCTTATGCTTCATCTTACCTCAACTTAACCTGTGGCTGCAGGGTTGTGGAAGGATATGGGCACTTTCTAGGTCTTCTTATCAAAGGTCATGCCTAGAGCTAAATCCTTTGGGCAAAGCAGCCTTTGAGTCTTTCCTTGCAAGGATGGATGGTTTAGAAACGATGGAGTCAAACTTTGGAGCTGTTCACTTTTGCTTTTTTCTACTCTTCCTTCAGATGGGAGAGCTTTTTCTCCGCCTCCGGGAGCTGAGTATCATCACTCTCTGGTGAAAGCAAGGCCCTTGGGCCTGCCTTGTAGTCTTGGCACATGATCGAAGCTCTAAAAATATTTGCTGGCTAAATCAAGGAATTAATCCTTAAAAACATGTCATCCTCTCTTTCTCTTCGAGTTGCCAACCCCCCACTCCCTACAACCACCAAATTCACATTTTCCTTTCCTTTATACCTCAGCAGGAGTGTGCAGACAGCACTCTTTTAGAACTCATATATAAATAACTGAATATATATATATGTATGTATATATATAAACAGAATGTTATATATATGTAACCTATATATAACATATATTTAGTTATATATGTTATGTTATTAACTGAAATTAATATAGTTAATAATGCTGCATTACATCTTTGAAAGTTGCTAAGAAAGTAAATCTTAAAAGGTGTCATAAGAAAAATAAATTTTTGTAACTATGTAAGGTGATGGATGTTAACTAGATTTATTGTAGTGATCATTTCACAATGTATACAAACATCGAATCATTATGTTGTACATCTGAAACGAATACAATATTATATGTCAGTTATACCTCAATAAAAAATAATTAAAAGAAAGAATTAATGGGTTGAACTCGATTTATCTTTGTGCTCTTTCAAGATTTCATTTGATTAACTTCATCATGGTCACGTAAAAGAAATTTGAACAGATGCGAGAAAAGTTATAATAAAATTACTAATATCTACATGTTAAGAGGGGACTTTGTGCCGGGCACCGTGTTAAGCACTTTTGGAGGTTTTCTTAACTTGGCGACTGGTGAACTTGGATAGGAAAAAGAAATGACATCTTTAATATCTCTAACCTCTAACTGAAATTTAGCATGTCCTTCAGGGATGAATGTTGGCAACAAATTACAGTCAGAAGATAAGTACCTGCGGCTTTGTGACTAAGAAAAGTTACATTTTCATACCCCATATTTGAGATATGAAGTATGTTACAAATATCTCATACTTAACTGTTTCGAAGTTACAGTAGTTATAAGACGGGTCTTGATGTTTAATATTTAATATATTAATGAAGAAGCACACGTGTTACTATACCGCAAATTATTTTGTTTGATAACTGTTTCTGTAGTATAATTGGTTTTCTTTGTTATCCTATTTTAATGCTTTTTAAAATATAATTTGAGAAGGGCTCCATTGGCTTCGTCACGAAGCCAGAGGGCTCCCAGGCACCGAAAAGTTTAAGAAGCCCCGCGCCCGCAGCGACCGCCGGGTGCTGGCAATGACCTTGGCCCAGACTTCACTGAAGGGGACTCGGGGTTGGAGACCGGGACCGGAAGCCCGAGCAAGGTCTGCGAAGGGTCTGAGGAGCAACCCAGGGAAAGAACTTCATGGTCCCAGCCTCCAGCCGGGCCGGCGCGAGGCGACTCCTAGCAGCACGGACTTCGGGGCGACCTAGAAGGGCTCGGAGGTGTGTCCCGGCGCCGTGCGGCCGCAGGGGCGGGGCGTCGGGGTGCGCGTCTGGCCACGTCTGCTGACAGTTCAAGTACGGCGTTTGTAGGTCATTTGCATGACCCCGGGTGGAAGCTATCGCAGGGTCTGCAGGGGTATGACGTACATTTCCCAAGGAGCACAGTGACCACTGTTGAGACTAGAACGAAGAGGAGACAAGGGCAGATACGAAAAATGTTTCCCTCCCTCTTCTTTCCAACTCTTAGGGGACCAATGCCTTAATTCTGATGGTCAGAAATTTGATTACTGAAAACTCTGGATCACTCAGGCTGTTTCATGTCAGACACCCAAATTCTCAGAGTATTAATAAATCAGGAATGTTAACTTATGAATTTACAAATAGAATGTAAATGCCAAATGGATCAGAAGAGTGGGCAAGAGAGATTTAAAGGCTAATTTATAATTTCCTAATTTGTTCTTGTCCACTTCATAAGTATTTGTCTAAAAAATTATCATCCTTGTACAGAAATAATATCCCTTCTAGCTTTATGTTGCTAGAGATACACTAAAATTCTAAATTCCATATGACCACTTTTCCCTTGGAATTCATTTTCCTCGCATTACTAATCTTCTTCATTGGAAATTACAACTGTTTAGCTAGTAGAATATTATTACTTACATTTGACTGTTTCCTAGTGGTATCTTGGGAAATTCCTTAATTTACTCAGAAACACCATATATATTTTTGGATGGATTACCTTTGAGGTTATACCAATGATCTTTTTAACAATGAGGAGCTTTCTTGGCCTTGGAGTTCTAGACATGGGTCTTAATCTGAATTTTACTCTCACTGTATGACCTCAGGGCAAATTATTTAATCTCTGTCTCAGTTTCACTAAATATAAAAATGGGAACAGTAATATGATTCAATTCATAGGGTCATGGAAATAAAATCATGCATGTATTATAAATCACTAAAGCAGAACAGTGTTTGGCAAACAAATAAGCACTTAATGAGAAATACCTTATTATTTTAAAAAGCCCAATATAACTTATTTGGTTACACATTTAAACTTTTTTTGATTCAAGAATACTTTATGGAACACCTACTATGCACAATATTCTCTTAACATCTTTGCAAATGTTACTACTCTTACTAGAAGTCTTTTACCCACCCCTTGCTTGACCAACTTCTGTTTTCATTTTGCTGCTTAGGTGTCAATTATGCCTCAGAAAGTGCTTCCTAATACCCTTTCATGCTCTGGCATCAGAGTCAGGGCCTCCTGCAATATTATCGCAACACCAAGCACACAGGGCTGACTTTCCTGAATTTGACTTTGGATTCTTGACAACAGGGAATGTTTATCTTTGATGCTGTTCTGTTGTTTGGCAAAGAGAAAGCACAGATAATATTTGTAATTTACCAATTAAAATGGGGTGGGAATAGTTGAGCAGAGGAAGGATGGAAACATAACAGGACAAAGTAGAATTTCCAGCAGTTCAGTTGTGACAGCCATCTAACTGGTCTTTCTCCTTCAACTCTCCCCCCCCCCTTACACCCTACTGCCCATGCATCAGCCATACACACACACACACACACACACACACACACACACTGATAACTTAGATTGTGTGGTTTCTCTATTCAAAACTCTAATGGCATCCCATCATTTTCAGAGAAAAGTGACAATGTGGAGAATCTTCCATTTTCTGGCCCCTGGCTATCTCTGCAATCATATCAACTATCACTCTTACTCTCCCTCATGCCAATTCAGCCACTTCTGCCCCCTTGTTATTCCTCAGTATGCCAAACTTTTTTTTTTTTTTGCGGTACGCGGGCCTCTCACTGTTGCGGCCTCTCCCTTTGCGGAGCACAGGCTCCGGACGCGCAGGCTCAGCGGCCACGGCTCACGGGCCCAACCGCTCCGTGGCACGTGGGATCCTCCCGGACCGGGGCACGAACCCGTATCCCCTGCATCGGCAGGCGGACTCTCAACCACTGCGCCACCAGGGAAACCCTGCCAAACATATTTTTACCTCATCTCTGCATGTGCTTTTTCCTCTGCTGGAATGTTTTCCCCTCAGAGTCAGTCTCTTATTCCTTTACTTCATTAAGAGCTTATTCTTTTACTTCATTAAGAGCTCTGCTCAAATGTCATCTCATCAGAGAGGACTTCTCTAATCACCCTATCTAAATAGCACCCACTTATACTTGTTTATTTAAAGCACCCTGTCACATACATTTGTGCATCTTCTACACCCTCCCCCACTAGAGTATAAGCTTGGTGAAAGCAGACTTTGTTTTGTTCACTGTTGTACCTCCAGCACTTAGACAATGCCTAGAACTAGAAAAAGGAAAAGAAGGTATAATGACTGTGAAGAAACAAAACAAAACAAAAAGAATATATAGTTATCTATGTAGAAAGCCCCAAAGAATACACAGACATAAGAATTAATGAGTTTTAGCAAGGTTGTTGAATATAAAAATCAGCTGAAAACAGAAAATGTAGCAACTAAAAACATACCATATAAAGTAGCATCCAAAAGTGTACAGTCCCTCAGAAATATTAACAAAAGAAAACGTTTATGGAGAAAATTATAAAACTTTATTGAAAGACATTTAGAAAGCCTAAATGGAGAATTATACCATGTTCATGGATTGGAAGACTCAATATTATAATTAATCTATAAATTTAATACAAATCCAATAAAAATTCCACCTTTTGTTAGTTTGATTTGGAACTTGTCAATCTAATTCTAGAAGTTATATGGAAAAGCAGTTGGCTAAGAATATAGCCAAGATACTCCAACGAAGAAAAGTTTGGTGGTGATGTTAAAGGTGGAGGTGGTATTTGTCCTGAGATATCAAGACCTTTTTCTAAAGTTGTAGTACTCAGGATTGTATAGTATTGCCACAAGGTTAGACAAATTGACCAGTGAGTCAGAATCGAAACCATCAACAGACCTCTCCCAGCTCACCCCCCCCCGCCCCGCACAAAAGAAACTTGATTTATGAAAAAAGCCACTATTACAGATCAGCGGGGAAAGGATGAACTTTTCAGAAAAGTTGGGACAACCAAGTGGTTGGGACAACCACTTACCATATGGAAAAAATATTATATTGAATTACTATCTCATATTTTTGCAAAAATCAGTTCAGGGAAGACTAAAGACAAATGTGAAAAGCAAAACTATAAAACTTTTACAAGGCAGTAAAGGATATCTTTATGACTTGGAGTAGGAAATGATCCCTCCCCTCCCATGAAGCCAACTTGTATCCAGCTTTATAAGATACTTTTCAAAAATAGTTACTTCCAGCAGGACATGGGTGACAATCCATAACATCTTACAACTTTCAAACTCCCCTCTCCAAAAAGTTAACAAAGTCTGTTGCTGCAATGAACAGGAGAAGTTTTCAGAAAGGGTGAATATTTCACATGAGGCATATAAGAGCTTTTCACAGGTCACCTCTGACATGGAGGAAAGGAACTAAAAACTCCAGGACTATTAATGAGATGATCCACAAACTACAAACAGGAATCCTGGCTCTTTTGAGCAATACCATCTTGATGTCATCACTAGAAATCCTGAGTATTGTTACCTGACGCAGCTGATTCTAGGGGTGCCAAGGCCGCATCATGACTCTTGGTTTCAGGAAGTCAAGGATGTGTTTTTGATGGCATCAGGAAAGGAGAAGACATGAAGTTTTGCTTCCCCACATGGTAAGGCTTCTGAGCCATAGTGGCTGTCATGTGTGAATGTCGGAGAATCTCTCCTGGGAACCAAGAATAATCTTCAAATACGATAGAAAATTCTGTTTTCCCCCATTTCAATCCAGCTTCTGAAACGTTCTACTAGTGGTTATTTTGCCCTTTCCACAAAAGATAACAACAAAGCGTCTTGTGTGCTAACAACATAACTTAAAAAAAAAAAATCTACGTTTTTACAAAATTTGATTTAAAAAAAATAGTATTTCAAACAGTAGAGTCACTAGAAGTACAGAGCTATCAAAAAAGTATACTTCACTTGGCATCCCCGGTGCCTTCTGCTTTCTGTGACTGGACTGTGGAGGCGTCTCGGTTTTTTGCAGGGTTGTTCCCATCTTTGTTGCCTTCTGCTTTCCCCTTTCTCCCTTTGGCCAGCTTCTCTCCCTTCTTTGCAGGGGTCTTTTTGGCCCTGGGCTCTGGTTTTGGAGGGGCAGGTTTAGCAGACAACCGTGCCGATCTCCTCTGTGGCTCATCCTTCACCTTTGCTTTGTCACCTTTAGCATCTCCTTTTGCCTTTCTCTTGGGCATGGTGGCAGTAGTGCCTGGCAGATGGCTTTACCAGCCCAAGTGGTTCTTTTGTCTTCCTCACTGCTCCTAGAAAGATTTCTTTAACAAGACACAAAAAGTGTAAACCGTAAAGGAAAAGTCTGACAAATTTAACTACATTAAAATTCAAATTTGACTATATTAAAATTAGTAATTTTTATATAGCAAAAAGATGCATAAAAAGAAGATAAGTTACAAGCTGGGGAAAAGATATTCATAATACATATAACTGACAGAGGATTAGAGTCCAGAATATGTAAAGAATTCCTACAGATCTATGAGAAAAGGACAAAATGAAAATTTAAAAACAATGGGCAAAAGTGTTAATACGTACTTCTTAGAAAAAGCATGAACGGTGAATAAGCAAAAAAAAAAAAAAAAAAAAGGTCAACTTCATTAGTAATATGGGAATGAATACAAAAATCACAGGATATAACATTTCACATCCATCAAATTGGTGAAAACTATATTGTCTGACAATATTAAGGATTCAGCAGATGTGGAACAATTAAAACACATACACTGCTAGGGTGTGTGTTTATATGTGTGTAAATTAGTGTGTGGCATTATTTAAAGCAATTTCACTTCTAGGTGTTTACCTGGAGGAATTCTTGGGGCTGTGCACAGGAGACCCCTACAAGAATGTTTCTAGCAACCCTGTAATTTCAAAAACCTGGAAACCATTCAGTGTCCTGCAATAGAATAGATAAATACATTTTGGTAATATCTATGCAAGGGAATACTATGCAGTAGCAGAAATGACGAGATTACAGCTATATGCAAAACCATGGACGAATCTCAAGAACATAATGTTGAGCAAAAAAGAGCGAGTTACAAAATGGATCTACAGTATGGATCCATTTATAAGTGTAAAACTAAATGACTTGTTTAGGCTACAAGTAGGTAGTCAAAAAAGCAAGAGATAAATTTAAAAATCAGGACAGTAGTCACCTCAGGGAGTTAAGAAAAGGATGGTGGTGGGACAGGGCATGGGAGTTCTCTTCCTTAAACTGGAGGCGGGTGGGGAACAACACAGGGGTAATACACCATTATTCTCTATATTTTATAGAGAGTGATTTTATGTGTCTGCTCAAGAATAAAAGCCACTTTAAGAAGGTGCGCAGCCCCGAGCACAGATTCACGGCCACACAAATAGACGTGATTTATTTCGATTTTGGACAATTAGGACCCAGGTCCATGGCTGGCATTCAAACACTGTGGGACTTTTTTAAAGCTCTGGGACAAAACTAGCCACTCACACCTTCTGCCCCACCCCTGAAAATGTTTCCTAGGGAATTCTGTAACCCTATGCCCTGCCCTACTCCACAATGTTTTATTTTAAGAAAAAAAAATTATTATCTTTTCTCTAAATTGCTCCAGAGTTTTGTTTTGTGTTTTTGCTCGACCTCACTCACCATCTAGATAGAATGGGAAAACATGGTCCTTGAGCAAACTTAGATTTTTTTTTTTTTTTTTGAGCAAGCTTAGATTTGATTTTTATGTTCTTTGGATAACAAAGGCAACCACCTGTAAATGGTGCGAAAACATCAAATTATCACTTGGTAATTTGATTATATGATAATTTCACTATCTATTTTTCTATTTTCTATCTACTTTCATTATCTATTCTTCCCCCATTTTTCCACTATGACTAGAATTTCCGGAAATTTTGCAGTTTTCCTTTCTTCTCATGGAACAGAGGGAGATGTGAGAGTTAGTATAAAGAAGAGGGAAGAAGCCAAAGTGGGAGTGCGCCTTGAATCAGTCATTATTTCCCTTGGTACCTTGTAAGGAACTTTGGGAACAGAGATTAAAAATTGAGAGGAGAAACAGTTCTAATCTCATGTTGAACAGCAGTTCACTGAAAAGCTAATAAGGAATTAGCTGGGCCCTTCTCTTCCCTTACTGTGCTCTTGCCTTGCCTCTTAATATTCTAAATTACTGGTGGGTCCAAAAGTCCCGGTTGCCACAGAGACACCCTGCAATTCTGCTGACCCAGCCAGACCCAACCTGCTCGCTCCCGAGGACATCTTTCCCTAGACATCACATGAATTTATGCCTAGTTTACTCTCTCCCAAATGCACCACTAAAGAAATGTTTGGACAATTCTTAAAGAACAAAAGTGTTGTTTTTTGTTGTTGTTGTTGTTTTACCAAAATCGAACACAATGAAGAAAAAAATGTGCAAAGAAAATAATTGAGAAGGATGCCAGAGATCACAAAGGTCAACTCTGGGTATGGTAATGGTGTGCCCAGAAAGGAACAGGGAGGAAAAGACAGCTGTTCTTACCATGAAGAAAGCAATATTGAGAGATTTTTTACGGCATGAAAATCATTTGGTCTAATATTGGGTGACTTGTTTTGCGCCTGTTGCCCTAGTATATTATTAATAATGCTCCCTTTTACTCTCAAAAGTGTGCCAACTTGGACAATAAATAAGGTCACCCAAAATAATCTGCATATATTCTTAAAGGTCTTTTTGTTACCAGAGAATGAGAGAGGAAACCAAAGTGAGAGCTTCTGTTCTACGACACACCTCCCTAAACAATGGACACTCCATACCATTCTCCTTCCATCTCACTCCAAAATTGTGTTTCTTAGCCCATATCCTGTCCTGGGAATGCTCACAGTCTGTTTCCTAGGCTCAGTCTTCATGTCGGATCCCTTGCAGTCCATCCCAAGCAGGGGAACCATGATCGGCACGTGTCAAAGGCCCAAACACAGCAGGTGACAATAAAGATAAACTCAAGGAAAAGAGGCCACTAGCTGGAATCTGAGTATATGAATATAGATTAGTTCCTTGAAACTCACATTTAGGAAGCTTATCAGGAGAACAGGTGGCTGACCTTACAAATATAGGAGACAGATGCACAAATAATGAAAAAGGGCTGGTGGGATAAAAGGTTATTTCATTTTCATGAAGGCCAAGGAGGTCGGGGAGGGAGAGGCTCTCACCACACAGTGGTGTTAATTTAAAAGAAATTATTTGAGATGGAGTACAGGGAAGATTTTTAGGGCAATGAAATTATTCTGTATGCTACTGACTGTAATGGTGGATACATGACATTACGCACTGGACAAAACCCATAGAACTGTATACACAGCATGGAACCCTAATGTAAATAATAATAATAATTAGTTAACAATAATAATTTGCTAATAATAATGTATAAATATTGGCTCTTCTATTGTAACAAAAGTACCACACCAATGCAAGTAGTTAATAATGGAGAAAATGAGGTAGAGGGAGGAGAAATATATGAGAACTCTGTACTTTCTGCTCAATTTTTCTGTAAACCTGAAACTGTTCTAAAAAAATAAAGTCTACTAACTAAAAACAAACAAATACATTTTAAGAATTAAAAAAAAATAATTTGTTAGGTAATAAAATATATAAGTCATAGGATTACAAATATTCCATCATGCATGTGAATGAAAAGAAAAATTATTAACTGGCAGATAAATCTTTTTTTTAAAGACTTTTTTTTATTTTAAAAATTTTATAGTTTTTTAAATTGAAATATAGTTGATGTGCAATATTATTTTAGTTTCAGGAGTGGCAGATAAATCTTTTAAGTAATATAACTTTTGGGAATACAGAGATTTATCAATGAGGCAAGAAATTATCAAGACAGATACTGAGGTTATTTTCCCAAGACATGGCAACAATTTTAAAAGTTTTAGGAATCTAATAATTCCCTTTTTTTAAAATAACACTTTCCAGGGCAAAACTATATTAACAGACAACAGAACAAGTTAGTGAAATTTTTGAATAACATGTCTTCATATTGTAAAGAACTGGACTGAAATTCTTGTGAAAGTCTCAGTTTAACTCTTCATTTAATGAACTTGCTGGTTTTAGGATGTGGAAAGGTATCCCTCTTAACAGCCTCAAGGGGAGAGGGAACATCCATTTCTTAAAGTCCTTTTCTTACCTATGAAGACTTGAATTTTTTTAATTTTAGAAAAAGACCTATATATTTAAATGTACTGACAGAAATAGCCTAAAAAAAAAGACTAATAGAGAAATAAAAAGCAAATGATGTATTTCTTCTGCAATAAAAATATGCAAATGATTAGTAAGATGAGGAGACGCAGGTATGCTAAAATCTTCTGCAAAGTTAACTTCTGGGAATTCCCCAAACTGCTTCAATAATATACAAAAAACACCAATCTCTGTTCCCAGAAATGGGCTGAATTTGTGTCCGTGCCCGCCCCCCCCACAAATTCATAAGTTGAAGTCCTAACCCTCAGTACCTCAGACTGTGACTGTACTGGGAGATGGGGCCTTTAAAGAGGTGATTAAGGTAAAATGAAGTCTTATGGGCAGGTTTTAATCCAATATGACTAATGTCATACTGGAGATTAGGACACAGACAACACAAAGAAAGAGAGGACCGTGTAAGGATAGCCAGAAAACCAAACCTGCCACCACCTTGATCTTGGACTTCCAGCCTCCAGGACTGTGAGAATATAAATTTCTGTTATTTAAGATATTCAGTCTGTGACATTTTGTTATGGCAGTCCTAGCAAACTAATACAGAAGGAAAGAGTATAAAGATCTCAATGACCTATGACGCATCTCGGATTAGATTAATTTTGATGTTTTGCCCAGCTCTCAGAATATTTTTTCCAAGTTTTTTTTTCTCTTTCATCATGAGTCTCCAGTATCCAAGGACCAAATCCCACCTCATCCAATACACACTCCCATGCCATCCCCAGCAGAGGCACATTTTAGCAACGTCCTTTTGCTCCCTTGACTGTTACTGAACTGGGTTCCAAGGAGTTTGTTCTAACTTGGGGTCTAGTCTCAATCCCACCCCAAAGCCAGGAGGCCACCCTCTTCTCTCTGCTTCTTATTTATGGCAAGATAGTGCCTTGAGGCTGGAGTGAAGACTTGGAAGAAGTTTACAACACCAAGCTTAGGAAGGAGAGAATAGAGGATATAGTAAAAACAAACAAACAAACAAAAGACCCTATTCAAGGTGCAGCGCTAAACAGGAGCAAGAGGTCACACAGTGTCAGCCACTCCCCAGGGCCTATTTGT